TTACTCCATTTTGGTACCGACAACTTGCACAGATATAGCTCAGTGGTAGAGTGCTTGCCTAGCATGTACAAGGCCCAGGGTTCAATCCTCAGGGTTAGCACAAAATGACTGAGCTGGGTGCAGACTACACGGATCAGCAAGCCTTTATTCAGCGGTGGAGTCATGCATCTGGTGGACACACTTTCTTGCTGGAAAATGAGCAACTGGCCAAAGGAGGAATCTGTGCTTATACACGTTACACTGAGAGGTGACTTAATTATTGAAAGAGTGTGTCAGTTTGGACACTCAGGAAACAGGTGAGAATTTGAAATTTGTTTTGACTGGGCAATGTTTTTACTTGGGAAAGAACAGGGGGTCTGGGGGTCAGTATTCGGTGTATATCTCTTTCCTTTCAGGGTCCCATTGTACTGTCCCCTGATAAAGATCTATCTGGAGAAGGATCAATGCTTTGGCTTCCTCCAAGAAATTGCCACTCTAGGCTTGATGGGTATCACCTTCCCAGGGAATGTCCTGTCACTGGAAGAGGTTATCTTGAGAACAGGAACAGACAGGCCACACTATTCTGGGGTTTGTCGTTTTCCATATTTTACACTCAGTACCACAAAAACAAAAGGAAAAAAAGGAGATGATTTTGTGCAGAACTGTAGGTCAGTACCAGTATTCTGAGCACATTTAAAGTAGAATAAGCTAGAATGTTCTCTAGGTTAAGTGTAATAAGTGAATTTTCAACTTATGAGATTTTCTATGTACAATGGGTTTATTGGGATGTGACCTCAACATACCTCAAGGAGCATCTATATCATCATGTGTGTGTGGGGGGGGGTGCAGCAGGGGGCCAAGCATGACAATGGAAGGAGGTGGAAGAAGAGCCACGCTGACTCTGCAGAGCCTCCTCCAGACAGTCCTTGAACTCGCTTCAGCCCTCATTTGAGTGTGTGTTTGTTTCTGCAGCTATAAATTTGTATCCTGAAACACATAGATTTGGGTTTGGAAATGATCTTCATGTCTATCCACAGGGAAATAGTGAAGTAAAATGTAGTCAATCTGGATAAAAAAATTTAAGGCAGTAATTAATGTTTTTGAAAAGACTCTGATACCATGGGGAAAATGATCAAGATATAACAGCAGGCGGGAGTGGTAGCTCAGTGGCAGAGCACGTGCCTAGCACATGTGAGGCACTGGGTTTGACTCTCAGCAACACATAAAAATAAATAATTGAAATAAAGGTCCATCAACAACTAAAAATATATACTTAAAAATTTTTTTTTGTTTTAATTAGTTATGCATGACAGTAGAATGCACTTATGTACTTTGATATATCATACATAGATGGGATATAATTTCTCATTTTTCTAAGTATACACATTGTAGAATCACATTGATCATACAGTCACATACATACATAAAGTACTAACGTCTGTTTCATTCTACTATCTAAAATATGTATATATTGGGCTAGGGATGTGGCTCAAGCGGTAGCGCGCTCGCCTGGCATGCATGCGGCCCGGATTCGATCCTTAGCACCACATACAAATGAAGATGTTGTGTCCGCCGAAAACTAAGAAAAATAAATATTAAAAATTCTTTCTCTCTCTCCCTCTCTCTCTGTCTCTCTCTCTTTAAAAAAATAAATAAAATAAAATATGTACATATTAAAAAATAGACTACAGGGCTGGGGATGTGGCTCAAGTGGTAGCGCGCTCGCCTGGCATGCGTGCAGCCCGGGTTCGATCCTCAGCACCACATACAAAGATGTTGTGTCCACCCAAAACTAAAAAAAATAAATAAATATTAAAAATTCTCTCTCTCTCTCTTTTAAAAAAAAAAAAGACCCTGGGTTTAATCCCCAGCACCACACACACACACACAAAAAAAGAACTACAATTAAAAAAAAAAAAAAAAAAGATACAATAGGAGTTGGGTTTATGGCTCAGCGGTAGAGCGCTCACCTCGCACATGCAAGGCCCTGGGTTCCATCCTCAGCACCACATAATAAATAAAAAAGTAAGTGAGATAAAGATATTGTGTCCAATTATAATTAAAAAATAGATATTAAAAAAAGATACAATAACAGGAGAAAAAGCAAGTCCTCATTTCTTTGTGAGGCAAAGGATCTTTGTGCTACACTACAATTATATCAAATGAGGGTGGTGCTAGCCTTTGAATGGAACTCCCAAAGTGTGTTGGAAACTTACTCCCTAATTGTAATGATTAACTTGAATTGTCGACTTGATTGGATTAAGAGATGCCAATGAGGGGCTGCGGTCGTGGCTCAGTGGTACAGTGCTCCCGTAGCATATGCAAGGCACTAGGTTAGATCCTTGGCGCCACGTAAAAATGAAAAAAGAAAATAAAGGTATAGAAAAATGTGTCTTTAAAAAAAAGAGAGAGAGAGATGCCAATGATTAAAGAGGCTTCTGGGTGTTCAGTGAAGGTGTGTCTAGGAATGACTGGCATGTGGGAGAGTGAACTGAAGTGGAGACCCTCCCCAAGCATGGGCAGTTTAGATGGAATAAAAGTTGGAAGAACAAGGAAGCAGCAGCAGATGCAATCTCCACTCTTCTCAAATGAGTTCCTGATTGCTGCTCCTGTGAATATCAGACTCTAGAGTCTTCACTCTTCCAAAGCGGACTCTGCCAGTGATTCTCCAGGGAGTTTCCAGAAGCCTTTGGTCTCAGACTAGGGTAGTATCATTGATCCCTCTTGTTCTGAGGCTTTGGCCTCTTGGACTATGCAGCTACTGGTTCCTCCAGCTCTCCAGCCTGCAGACGGCCATTGTGGACTATCCAGCTTCTGATCATGTAAGCCAATCTAATAAATCCCCTTTTTATAATCATACCTCCTATTGATTCTGATCCCCTGGAGAAACCTGACTAATATACTAATGCAACAGTGTTGGGAGTGGATTAGTTATTGAGAGTGGGCTTGTTGTAAAGATTGAGAATTGTTTAGCTTGTATGGAAGAAACTCAGGTGAAGTGGGTTCAACCCTCTTGCTCCCATCCTCACAGGAACTCTTGCCCTTCTGCCTTCCACCATGGGATGACACAGGAAAGAGGCCTCACCAGATGCCAGGAAAATTTCAGGACCATGCTCTTGGACTTCCCAGGCTCCAGAACCATGAATCAGGTAAACCTCTTTTCTTTCTTTCTTTCTCCATCTTCTTTTTTTCCCCCTTTGGTACTGAGGATTGAACCCAGGGGTATTTAACCATTAATCAACATACAAGCACTTTTTATTTTTTTGTTTTGAGACAGGGTCTCCCTAAGTTGCTTAGGGCCCCACTAAATTGCTGAAGCTGGCTTTGCACTTGCAGTCCTCCCAAGTCGCTGGATTATAGTTGTGTGCCCTTGTGCTTGGCAAACCAGGTAAATCTCTTTCCTTGTAAATTACCCAGTGTGTGGTATTCTGTTATACAAAAACAGAACAGACCAAGGTGGCAAGTGGGTCCAGAGCACAGTGCTCCCAGAGCAGACAGAGTTTAGGGTAAAGTAGGGGCACCTCTCTGGCCCAGGAGAGTGAGTACAGACATGAGCACTAGGGGAAGGGCTCTTCATCAGGATCTGGCCATGAAAACAGGTGGAGGACTGAGTCCTGACCAGGTTGGTGCCTTCCTGGCTATGGAAACACCAGGTAAAACCTGCATCCACCCATCCTGCATATAACCCAGGCTAAGCCAATCAGCAAATGCCAAGACAATGAGTGGTCCAAGTGGACTAAGTCATTATAATCAGGATCAATCTTAGGACAGTTGCAAAGAATTGGGAAACAGATGTTTTCTTTCTCTGAAAGGCATGGTATGGATGTATGAGGTGGAAATGGGGTTAGGAGCCTGGTCTCTAGAGCAAAACTGTCTGGGTTCAGGACCCAGCTCTACCCTTTACTTTGGGAGACTCAATACCCTATCTATAAAATAGAGATAATTATAGTATTTACTACATATAACCTTGTTGTGACAATAAGATGAGTTAATATAGTTAACAAAGTACAGCAGGCAAGGGTGCAGTGGTGCACACCCGTAATCCCAGTGGCTCAGGAGGCTGAAGCAGGAAGATCACCAAGTTCACAGCCAGCCTCAGCAACTTGGCGAGGTTCTAAGCAATTTAGCAACAGCCTGTCTATAAATAAAATATTAAAAAGGGCTAGGGAAGTGGCTCAGTGCTTAAGTTCCTCTGGGTTCAATCCCCTATACAAAAAAAAAAAAAAGGTACAGTGGTTGGGAACATAGTAAGGTGAAACCTGGAACCTCTGCCATTGCTAGGCTACTGGGGATGGAGCTGCTGGATTCAGCCTGACCTGAGGCCTACATTAACATGGGACTTCCATTTCTGACCACCAATAAACCCTCATCATCAGAACCAATTTGGGTTGGTTTTTCAAATGACATACTTGCAGCAGAAAAAAATCCACCTTGACATCCTAATGATGTGACCTCAAGCAATTCATATAGCGCCCCCCCCCCCAGTCTCAATTTCTTTCTCCACACCATGGAACTGATAATATCTGACAGCGTGGAGACATCAATGCACCAGGCTCCTCAGCCTCCCAGGCATGCACAGTTTTGCATTTGTATTTCTCACAGGCATTTTCTCAATGACCTCCACCCTGTTGCTACTCTCTACAGAATATGCAGGCACTCCCTCTCCATCCCTCCCCACACACCTCCATCCAGAGGTACCCCAGGATATGCTCTCTAGGCACATCCTTCAACCTGCCCCCCCATTAAGCTCTTCATCCCAAGAGTTTGTCGTTTACTGGATGCAGTCCCTCTCCCACCCCAGTCTCCCTGTCCCCGAGCCCCAGTAAATGTTCTTTCATAGCCACAGAGTCTCCTTTTGCCTCCCCCAGACTGGGACTGTCCCCATAGGGGCCCTCCCCCAAAAAGTGCAGACAGAGACCAGAGCCAGAAAGTGACTTTAATGTCTCAGGAGCTGGATTTGGAGCAAGTTGGGGGTGGCCAGGGCCTCTGGCCCCAAGAAATTGACCAGCCTGTATCCTCCTCTAAATCAAGTGGCACCGGCGGGGACACATCACATCCTTGGATGAGCAACTCAAGCCCCTTTTGCAGGGGCAGATGATGTTCATGGCTCCCTTGGTCTGTGGGGAGCAGGTAGGAGAGCTGCAGTCGCTGGGATGCAGGAAGGAAGGTGCTTAAACTCTCAGGAGCAAGGGCACAAGGGCAGGACTGAGAGGGCCTGGGGGCAGGACTGAGATGGCAGGACTGAGATGGCACAGCTGATGACTGTGCCACCCGAGACAAGTTAAGGAACCCCTGTGGCTCAGTTTCTTCATCTGTCAAGTGGGGAAAATAAGAGCAGCCCATCTGATAGGGTCATTGTAAGAATTAAGGGACATAAAATCTATCAGGTGACCCTAATAAAAAGACCCTCTGGCCCCTTCAGCTCTAAGGTCAGGCCACAGTAGAGGCCTGGTCAGCACTGGTAGCTTCCCAGATGGCTTCATGGAGGCCAGGCCCATCCTCCCTAGAGAGGTTTGGGCCTGGGGCCAGATGACCAGGAACAAGGCACTCTGCTGCCTACGTTTCCACTAGCAAATGACAACCATGCTTGAGTACGCACTGCTCTAGCCAGGACTCTTCCCAACAACCGCATGGGGAAGGGACTTTAGTCACTAGCTCTTTGGCTATGGTGAGGATTGGGAAGAGGTCCCAGAATTATCAAAGAACTCAGGGATTCCGGAAAAGAAGACACTGGGCCTCAGAAAGCAGAGGTAACCTGTTTGAGGTCACAAAAACAAGACTGGAAAAGTTACAATTTAAATTTGGGTTCAACTCTAAAGCTGAAGTCCAGCCCCTGTAGCAACCTGCATGTCTCTAGAAACTAGGTCACTGTGGCAGGGAGATGGGGATAGGTCAGGGGAGGACTTTTCCTGCCCACCTTGCTTCAGAGATGCTAGGGCAGAGATATTCATTCATCCAACAAATGTTTATTGAGCATCTACTATGGAAAGGCACTAAGCTCAGAGTTATGGCTCCTAAGAAGAATGACACAATCTTTGCCCTTATGTGCTCTCACCATTGAAGCCAGGGCAAATCAGGGAGATGCCTGCTGTGCCCAGGATATGAGTCCAGGGCATGGGTGCTCGGAAAAGGGACAGCTTCTCAGAACCTTGTTTTGCAGGATGAGTGGGAGTGTGTCAAGTGGAGAAGAAAGAAGGGTGCTCCAAGAAGAGGGTCCACCCCTTTCCCTACTTGCCAAAAGGAGCTGCCTCAACCCAGAGCCTCACCTGGGGCAGGCACGCCATGGCTTTTCTGGCCTTGGGAGCACAGAAGGCTCCTCCAGCGGTTAAATCCATCAGGCAGCAGTCACTGAAGCATTCAGAATGATGAGAACACCTGTCCCCGCTGATCTGTGGGGACAGGCAGGAGGTCTGCCAGGCTGGGGACACTCCCTTAGCCACTAGCTCTTTGGCTATGTGGAAGAATCAGGGAGAGTCCCCCACACTGTCAAAGAACCCAGGGATGCATGAGGAGAAGCGATGAGGTGGTCACCCCCAGGTCTCACGCCCCAAGGCACCAGCTCCCCTGCAGAACTCAGGGGAGGGGGAGATGGAGGGGGGGTGGGAGTTTCCCTCCTCTCCTTCCCTGACCCCTCCCCCACATTTCCGTGGCTCCCAAAGGCGCTGTGTGCTGGGGAGGGACGGACACTCCCAGATGACATTTTAGTAGGGGGAGGCACAGGGGAGAGGAGGAGGCGGCAGGGGGAAAAGCCACTGTGCCTAGAAGGGCCACTAAGCATCGGAGAGAGGGAGAAGCCAGGTAGGGAGGGTTCGACTGGGGCTTGTTGGGGAGGGGAAGTGAGACCAGGGCTGAGACAGCCCGAGGGGCCTCGGGGACGCTGGTCATCGGGTCCACTGACCCCACTTCCCCACGTCACAGCGGCAGGTTGGGGACGCTCGCTGGGCTCACCTTTTTATGCCCGTGGAACCTGCCCCAGCAACAAAGCAGAAGGGCCACCAGGAGCGCGACGGCGGCGGCCATGGCCCGGTGGCGGCGGAGTGGGCGGGACCCCGGGGCCCGGGGATCAAGCCACCGCGTGACCGGCGCCGGGTGCGCGCGGTAGCCGAGGGGGCGGGGCGGTAATGGTCACAGGCTGTCCCACCGGAGGCGACGCTGGCCTCCCCTCTCAGTCCTGTCTGGCTGCTAGAAGCTGGTGGAAGGCATGGAGGGGAGAAGGAGCCAGCCCTGGACAGGCGGGACTGCAGAGTAGGGCCTCTGTCGCACTGTACCCAAACAAGACTTTAAATGGCAAAATAAAACTTTATTAAAAAAAAAAATTACACAATGACTTGGCACAACAATGATTTATATACCACTTGTATAAAGTCTGTTTGGGGGCAGTAGACCCTTCTCCCACCCTGTAGCCAGGACACCTGGAGGACTGGCCGAAGATCACTAAAGGAGATGGGAGCACACCTGTCATCCCAGCAACTTGGGAGGCTGAGGCAGGAGGATCACAAGTTCAAAAGCCAGCCTCAGCAACTTAGTGAGACCCTGTCTCTAAATAAAAGCAAAACCCGGAAAAGGCTGGGGATATAGCTCTGTGGTAAAGTGCCTGGGGTAAATCTCTAGTGAGAGAGAGAGAGAGAGAGAGAGAGAGAGAGAGAGATTGCTGTATGGAGGAAGCACCTAGACACATTACTATCTCTGCGGCCAGGTGTGACATCTACCTTGTCCACTCGTGGACCATTGGACAGAAGTGACCCCAGACTTCTGCCAGGGAGGCTAGGAAATTCAAGGGAATCTTAGAATATTTATTGTGTATCACTGTTTCTGCTGTGTAACTCTTATCTCCATTCCACAGATGAGAAACCTGAAGACACAGGGTATTTTGCCCAAGTAACGTGATTAAACAGTAGTCAGACGTAAATCCAGAGCATTCTAGCTGCTGAATCCAAGCTCCTACCACTGTTCTATACTGCCATGGGCCGTCAGAAGCCTAAGCATTTGTCCCAGTAAAGGGAGTGCTATCATTACTGTAGTCCCTGCTTCCTGAGGTCATGGTCTAAACTCTCTAGGTAAGTGCCCTGTCCCCTTCTTGGCTACTTTCCTGTCTAAGCAGCCCAGCCTGTCTCCCTGCTCCCCTGTGAACTGGAGAGGAACCCTGGGGTTCATCATTCTCTGAATTGTTTTGCCCCTTTCCCTGGCCCAAGCCACGGAGTTGGGGAAATCATTGGCTGCTTAGAAAGTGACAGATGTGAGTGTGAGCCAGCAGCTGTGTGGCGGGATTGGCAGTTAGAGTTCTTGCTGTGGGAACCAGGGACCCTGGGAAGTCCAGCAAAGCTCTCTCTCTCTCTCTCTCTCTCTCTCTCTCTCTCTCTCTCTAAGCCAGAGAGCTGAACTTTTCCTTAGAAATTACTAGTTCAGAGCCTTCATCTTATGGGGAGGAACTGAGGTCCAGAGAGGAAAGGGAAGGGACTACCACAGGTGACTCAGCCAGTCAGTAGCAGGGCCAGGCCTAGACTCCAAACTCACAATTCAAGTCCTGTATTCATTCTCCTGAACCAGTGTCCTGTCTCCAGAATCCCATCAGCACTGGTCACAGGTCCCTGGGAGGAGGTCTGTACAGGGTCTGGTGGGGGGGTGGGAACTAGATCACCAGGGTCTCCAGGGCCAGGGGATCCCAGACCACCTAACCTATGAATGTGACCACAGTTCTGCTCTTTGTCCAAGGCCCAAAATTGGCCCCCTTGGACTTCCAAAAGGAAGATAGGGGTCAGTTCCAAGCAGGGGAGCACCGAGCTGATGATCTTTGTGTTAGGTAGGTAGCTAGGGGTGAGCAGGAATGGGAGAAGAGGAAAACAAGGGAGGTGGCAGCTGTGAAAGGGCCTTTGACCAGCAACTGTCCCAGAGGACTCACAGCCATCACCATAGGAGCATGAATCCCCCATCCCGTGTGTGGGTGGGGCTCTGCCCATCTTAGGAAGGTGGACACACTACTCGGAGCCATCAAATGACACCGCCAGTCACGGGAGGCCCAGCATGCTCTCCCATAGATTTATGAGCCCGTATTATGTTCACACACTCCCACAAGCTTCTCTGAGGGTCAGTTTACTGTTATATGACCTTCCAAGAGTGGCACTAGGCAAGAGAGGACAAAGTGACCCAAGCATGCAGGCACACACCCTCAGTTTTCAGGCTGTGGAGGAATCTGACTTCCCCAAACAGGCAGCAGCTGTTCAAACTCCAGGCCTGAAGAGGTGTGGCCACCTGCCACTGGAAGCTCCTACCCCTGCCTAACGCCGCTGTAGAGCCTAAGCATTTTGTCCCCCTGGCTGATTTTCTTGCCCCTCTCTCTGAGGTGTATCTCTCTTTCTCTTGCTATAATTACCGTCCCTGTCTTGCTGTACCTCTGTTCCTGCACAGGGGAAATCGCTCAGATCTTAGTCATGACATCCAAGGGCTGAGGACCACTCCACAGTTGACTCAGCCTCCACCAACATTCGACCCCTTCTCCTTCCCTGCCCCTCACTTCCCTCCTCCGATGTCCTCTAGCATCTCTCTTCTGCTTTCCTACATCTTTCTGGGGGCATAAGCAGTACCTTACATGACAATGTTATCAGTGGTGTTTAGTCGGTGGTATTTAGTTTGCTGCTGGGACTAAAAGACTGGACAAGAACTTTTCTTAAAAAAATATTTTTTAGTTTGGGGTGGACACAATATCTTTATTTTGTATCTTTTTTTAAACATTTTTTTTAGTTGTAGATGGACACAATATCTTTATTTATTTTTATGTGGTGCTGAGGATCGAACCCAGTGCCTCATGCATGCTAAGCAAGCACTTTACCACTGAGTCTAACCCCAGCCTGAGGATTTAAGCTTTTTCTTTCTTTCTTTCTTTCTTTTTTGTGGTGCTGGGGATTGAACCCAGGGCCTTATGTATACAAGGCAAGCACTCTACCAACTGAGCTATATCCCCAGCTCCTGGACAAGAACTTTTTTAGGGGAGGAAGAGTTTATTTGGGGGCTTACAGTTTCAGAGGTCTCAATCCAGAGACAGCAGGCTCCAGGGCTCAAGGTGAGGCTGAACATCATGGCAGAAGAGTGTAGGGGAGGGAAGCAGCTCACATGATGATCAGAAAGCAGAGAGCGAGACTCCACTCTCCAGATACAAAATGTATATTTCAAATGTGTGTCCTCAAGGACCCTCCTCCTCCAGCCACATCCTACCTGCCTTCAGCCCCACCCAGCTAATCCCATCGGGCAGTCGATTTGCTGATCGAATTAAGGCTGTCATGAGCCAATCATTCACCTCTAACCTTTCTTACATTGTCTCACGCATGTCTCACCTCACATGCAAAGCATAACAAATGGTCTACGGCAAGATGAAAAATATAGGGTTAATGTACTTTATTTTGCTAAAGATAAATGTATTTAACTGAAATCACCTGTCCTACTTTTTCAGTGTTATTTATAATGAGTTCTTGTGAAATAATACAGCAGTTTTGTTTCAATGTAAGTATTTTTTTTACGTGAATTCGGTCAGTTCAAAATGTTTGGGAAGTTTTCTCAGTCTACAAAACCCAAAATAAACTTCTGGGGAAAACTGACCTAGTGGAAAGGACCCGTGATGGGAAGTGCTTGGAGGTGAAGGGTGGAGGCACCGATCCTCTGGGTAGTGTGCTCACCACAGTCTCAGGTCCCAGCAGGAGTGGTGGTGCCCTCTTGCCACTCCTTGAAGGGACCTGGAATCTGGATAAGTAGAGACCAAGGCTTCCAGGCAGGGCACAAAGCAGGATGAGCAAAGGCTTGGGGTAGAAATGGGCAGAGCATGTGGACAGAAGAGCAAGGTGAGGTGTCTGCTCACAGGGATGGTGAATGGGGACCCAGGGCAGTTATTGCTCTGGGGAACTTGGGGGGCCATGAGAGGATCCCCAGTTGAGATGACTCCTCAAGGGAAGGCTGGCAGTGGCAGTGCTGAGTCAGGGGTCCAGGGTGAGGATGGAGTTGCCTTGCTCTGTCTTGAGGACAAGACTGTCCTGATTAGGGAGAGCATGCCAACTTTCAGTCACCCTCACCCACCCTCCCACAGACACCTGATCTGGGGACGAGGCTCACCTCACCTCCTCCCAGAGTGGGATGGCTCTGGTGAGAGGCTCTCAGCTCAGTTCAGGAGGAGGCCTGCCTGGAGGGAAAGGAGAGTGCTGGTGGCAGCCTCTTCCCAGACCAGGCTGGCCTTTAGACCTGGAGCATCAACCTGGAGGGTGGAGGCACAGATTTTCTTGTACCTGTGACCTGAGCCTCAGCTTCTCCCAGTCAATGAGTCTGAGCCACATTGGTACCCAGTCACTTTGGCAATGAAGGCCTCTTGCTCACCTCAAGGAGCTGTGAGATAATCTCTACTTCTATAGCTGCAAGTGAAAGAAACCAACCCAAACTGATTTATTAAAAAAAAAAAAAAAAAAATTGAAACCCAAGGGACCAGGAATGTCAGTGGTAGAGCACTTACCTAGCAAGCCCTAGGCTTACCTAGTGAAGCCCTAGGTTCAATCCCCAGCACCACAATAAATAAATAAATCCCTAAAAGGAACAATACTGTGTCAGTAGCTATGTGAGGCCAGGGACCCTAACACGGACACGCTGACATTGGGGGGTTTTTCTCCTCAACTTTGGCCTTCCTGGAGGCCTCCTTTCCTCTCTGGCAGGGAGACTGGTTTTCTGTGAATGGGACAGAGGTGGGGCTAAAGTTGCATAGAGCTGCAAGCATCCCTATCCTTCAGCACTATAGAAAACCCTACAAGAACATGGGGTCCTGGTACTTTTATTGGCAGAACTTTATGGAGCTTGCACAGGGCAGGTTCCCAAAGGTAGAGGAGATAGGGATCACAGGCTCCTGAGGACTGAGAAGTGGCAGAATTACAGGTGTCCATAACATCCCAAGTCACCGTACCCTGAGGATTGTTCTGTCTAATAGCACCTGGATTCAGGAACAGTTCCTATTATGGTTTAGGAATGAAATGTCCCCCAAAAGCTCATGTGTA